TATCCCAACTGAGTCAATGCGTGCTCCGTCTCCTTCTCCTCCTTCTCCTTCGCCAATCTCTCCGTCTCCAATTTAAACCTCTCAACCTCCAAAGCTTCCAACCTTCTCTGAGCCGCAGCTTTACATCTCTGAATTCTCTTCCCTGCCCTTGACCCTCGAGACTTTGGACCGAATAACGGATCAACATCTCCTCCTAAAAACCCAAGTATCCTCGTCGTCGCAGACGTATACGCAGTAGTCGCAGTTGAGTTCATAGTTGTATCGGTAATCGTAGCCGCAGGCTCAGAGTCTGGAGTTTGAACCGGAGCATCAGAAATAACCGCTGTTGCGACTGTACTTGTACTTGGTCCAGCCTGACTTGGAGCAGGATCGACAACGGTTGGTGCATTTCCAAACCTAGAAGGACAAAACGGTTGCGCAAATTTCATGAAAGGGAAAGGTCCTGTAAAAATTGGATCTGTCTTGATAATACATCCTACACTCTCCGTGAAAATCTTCTTTGCAGCTTTCGGACTTTTGTCAATTGAGCCTTGATTTTCTTGACGAGCTTCTAAGTTCTCCTTGAATTCAGAATTCAATACATCATTCGATGATGTCGTTGTCAATTCCATGACCATATCTCCATCTTCATCTACTTCTGTCTGAACCTTCGTGTCAGATTCGACTTTGAGAACCATTATCTTCCTCTCTTTATCCTTCTTCCTCTCAATCTCTCTCTTCCTCTGATTCTGGATTCTTTGCATTGTTCTAAAAGCATACGTATCCCTCTTGATCAACAAACTACCACTTCGAGAACTTGACGAAGAAAGCGAAACGGGAGACTCTTGTTGCTGTTGTTGTAAAAGCCGTTCCCAAAGTGGTGCTTGACTGAGCATAGGAGACGATGATGAATGAGTGATGCCTTGAATGGCAGACGAAAAGGAATCCTTGGGAGGCAGATCTTGACTAGTAGTATTCGCAACAGTATCTAGTGTTGCATTTTCAAGTCCAGGTTCATTCTTGATAGAACTCGAAGGCTCCACGTCAGTCGGAAGATTGCTCGTATCTTTCAAAACGTTCGACTTGAGGGCTGTAGGAACCAAAATTGGTAGCACGGATGTAGAATAGGTATCGAGACGTTGAAACAAAGAGGATATCTTCTCATTGTTCTGTATCTTCGAATAGGTCTTTCCGAAATCTTGGGTCGGAGTCTTCATTGGAGTTGCACATAGAGTGATGTCCTGTTCGTCACGGTTCAAAGGGGAGACAAGATCTCGAACGACAAAGGAGTGGGGAGTAGAGACAACCGAGCATTCCCGGTCCTCCTGAATGGGGTGGTCAATGGTTTGAGTACTAGAGTCAACCTTAGTTGTCGAAATCAACATAGAATGCGCCAAGTCCATGGTAGGTTCCCTAGATTCCGTACTAGAGCCAGCAGAACGCAACGAGGAAACTAAAGGGGGAGACGTAGCCGAAAGATACCCAGAAGAAAACTTCACGTCATTACCACCATCAAATTCGGTCTGAACAGAGGTTTCAACCCATCTGTTAACCAATGGCACCATGTAAACCGTTGTAGAGAGGCCTCCATTCCTGCCGTACCGGTAACTGACTGGGATATACGGTCTCTTGGTAATAGCACCATTCGAATAACTGAACCGCGATTGTTGCCGATCCACAGTTCTTCGTTTCATTGGAAGCGGGGAAATCCTGGGAGTCTTGATGGGTTGAACCTGGACAATATGTATCCTCGGGGGAGATGTATGGTATGCCAAGAGGGTAATAGATGCGATAGAGAGTAAAACGAGGAGGCCAAAGTAGTTGGAGAGTACTGAAGTCGAGGTGGCAGCGAGGAACTGTTGATATATGTCTGAGGTTGATTGAGGTAGAAATGGGAAGCTGCCGTTGCTCATTTCAGTGGGACTATGAGACCTGCTCGATAGCTGAATGATGCCAATGTCTGATTCCGAGAGAACGTTGGTAGAGAGCGTGTTTGGCAAAGATCGTGGGGATGTTGGTTGCCTGGCGTCGAGGGAAGAGATGTAGGAATTTCGTCCGTGTTGGTTTTTCGGGGCTGGATGCATACGATCGAGCGAGAAGACAATCGGAAAGTGATAACGTGATGTCTGAAATCCAGGGGGTTGTCGCTGGATTGAAACCTAAATTCAAAATGATCAATATAAGTAGCATGTCGCGAGCTGCTGATGCACGAAATTCGCCAGCTGATGAAAAGTGTTGCAATGGTAATGTGGAGATCACTCAGGCCATAGTCATATGCTGCACATACCACATATGAGAACGCTGAATTGGAATTGATACCGAGTACGGTCACCCCACACCATCGTGAGTCGAGGTCAATTACCGCCTGAGACATACGAATTTTTCCAAGAGGGCCTAAAGTTGCTATAGATATCTTCAGTCCAGACAATCGGAGAATCAAAGCCTTCTGGCCTTGTTGACAGAGTTCCGAATGCTATCATGACAAGCTGGCGGAGATTTAAAGCAGCGCCAGGCATATGATTCAGTGGGATTGTGTAAAAAGCGAGTAAAAGTCGAAAATTTAGTTATGCATAGAGAGGCGAGCTGGAGGAGGTAAGTTCCTCGAAGAAAATACGCTTGGGTAAATTGCAAGACGTTCAAAAACATCGTGAACGAGAGGCGTCACGATGTTGACACGATCACCTGACGCCATATCAGGCGTCTCGGGTAGATTAAGAGGTCTGCTCTGATGCCTCGTGTTCCGTTAATTTGGGAAAAAATCCGTCTGCAAGATCAAGCCAGCATGGTTCGTTCCTCGAGCAGCGTTCATCCATTTATCTTCGCAACTTCTTTCCCTGCAATGTCTTCTCGCTCTTTCCGGCCATTTTACACTGCTCCCTCAAAAACGTGGTGCAGACGAGGCTTAAGCCTGGAAACACGGACTTAACGTCGACCTCACTCTCCCCCCTTCACCCTCGCTAGCTTGGTTTTTACGCCACCAACCTCTCTCGTCACATCGCTATGCGCTTAACTCGCCATATACCCTTATTATTTGCTATATCCTCGTCGTTTGGGTATGAACTGCTACGTGAATACGCAGGAACCAACTTTCTCAATGGCTGGGATTGGTTTGGAAGTTGGGATAATCTGACCCTCGGTAAGTCGACTTCTCCTCTCGTCCGAATAACAATATCTTTTTCTGACATATTCTGCCCAAATGTCCTTTTCGTGCCGTATTGTAGGGGACGTGAATTGGTTGAGCGAGGCGGATGCTATGGCTCAAAACCTCGCATACATCAACTCTGCAGGAAACGCAATCATAAAAGTTGATAATACGACTAATGTTCCGTTGAACGAAAAGCGAAACACGGTCAGTCCAGTCATTCCCCACTAATCTATCTCCGTCACTTTTATTCTCTAAATTACGCGTAATATTCAATTTCTCCTGGTTCTCCTCTATTAGGTCCGAATAACCACGACGGACTTTTACTCTGTCGGAACTCTTTGGTTAATTTCCCTCCGTCACATACCCTTCGGATGCAGTGTCTGGCCAGCATTCTGGTCCAAAGGCACCTTATGGCCCAACGATGGAGAAATCGATATCATAGAAGCTATTAACTTAATGGATCACAATCAGATGGCTCTACACACCACAGCTGGTTGCACACACGAGAATATTGGCAACAACTTCCAAAAAGGCAACAATATTGATACCAACTGTGGAACTGGAAGTGGATGTACTGTTGCGGAAACTGAACCAGATAGTTTTGCTGAAGGTTTTGCAGATAATGGGGGCGGTGTTTGGGCTACTCAGTTTGATGTCAGTGGGATTTTGTGAGTGTTCATAAATTCTTTGTCATGTTTCGACAATTCGCTTACCTTCGATTCCCTTTTCTTTCACTTAGTATCTGGTTTTGGCCGGTATGTCTTGGTCCCTCCCACAGTATGAAGTCCTTATGGCTAACGTATCCCCCTCTTCTCTAGAGACCCTCAGTACCCTCATCAATAACACAACTCTCTTCCACCCAAACCTCCCTCGACATATCAACCTGGGGACCGCCCTCAGCATCCTACCCATCTGGTCCCTCCTGTAACATAACCAACTTCTTCACACCCCAACAACTGGTCCTAGACATAACCCTATGCGGAGATTGGGCAGGAACACAATCAGCCTATACCAATTCAGCTTGTGGAAAACAAGGTCCTACTGGAATTTGTTACAACGATGCTGTTGTTGGATCTGGAGCTAATTACGCTAATGCTTATTTTGAGATTGAGTGGTTGAGGACGTTTACCAACAATCCTTCCGGCCTTCCATCATCATCACCAACGACGGATTCGGGGGTGGCGATACCGACGGGAGCTACTAGTGAATCGTCGTCACAAGGTGGGAGCCCGGTAGTTGTAGTGACGAGTACTGTCGTTGCAGGTGCTAATCCTTCTGGTGATCCTATAACTGGAAACGGAGTTAAAGGACAAATCGGAAATGGATGTCTTGGACATGATCGGCTTGGGGTAGGGATGTTGGGGATGTTGAGTATTGTCGTCGTATGTATGTTGATCATCTGAACTTGAATCTTTACTTCTAAATCTTTTGGTTTACCTTTTCGATGCGTTTGGACTCGCTCGTACCCACGCACGACTTTTTGATTATGTTTCGAGATGACTTTTTGGTATACTTGCTTTAGATTAGGACTTTTACTTGCTTGCTTGTTGTTTTGTTATACCAGCTTTGGTTGTTTGATTGAATGTGTTTTCATGACTCTTACTTTACTTACAGATATCCCTTGACAAGGACATGTACGTCTCTACGCCTCTGTTGTAGTAAATTTGTACTTGACATCACCCATACTTCTATTAGTATCTTTCTATATATCCAACTTTAGAAACACTTACAAAATTTCAGATTTTAGAATCCGGTTTTCTCTGTCTCCTTGAAATATATTTTGTTCATCTCCGACAAAGCTTGAAAGAATTGAATTTTTGGATATCGGATTTTGAAATTCTAATCGTCATATAGTTATGTTTGGATCAGTCTTTCGGTCCTTGTCGATTAGTGGTTAGATCATCACGTTGTGGCTTACGAATCTGCAATTCCGTGAAGACGGAGGCTCGAATCCTCCCTGGGACACTTTTTTTTTTCAAAGTTTCTCCAAATTCTCCATCGTGCCAACCTTGCTCTCAAGTATGTACCTTCCTCATCTACTCATTTTATGATGCGTAAAGAGGAGACCATGAACTACATACATCTTGCATATTATGGATGATTGATATCTATACACTAATGACTATTGTAATGATACATGATACAGAATTGTCCAACAGACCGAACGGACATTTTTCAAAGTCACAAAACAAATTCGAAAACAAAGTTGAAAGAGAAAGGGAAAGGGGAAAAAATTCGAAAGGAGAGAGAGAGAGAGAGAGAGAGAGAGAGAGAGAGAGAGAGAGAGAGAGAGAGAGAGGCCCCGGATTAGTACGAACTCGAGGGGAGTGAAGTATAGAAGAATATAGAGTGTAGTGTAAGTCAAACAAAATGAAGAATCACAGAATCAACGGCAAGAAACCCACCCATATTTTCGAACTCATCCAAGCAAAAAAAAAAACCACAAAGGACGAAAAAACAGAAGGCGAAAATGAAACAAACAAACAACCCCCCGCCCAAAAAAAACAAAGCTAAACCAAAAAAAAATCATTCGCGTTCATATCCATGTCCATATCCATCTTTACCCTGAGAGTCATGACTTTGCCGCATCGAAAGAACATCCAGCTCCATAACCTCCTCTTCACCACAAGGACTTTTCCCCGTCTCCTCCTCTCCTTTATCCTCATGTATCTCACTCTCCTCACCAAACGTATAATTCAACCTTGAAGGCATCTCAATCCTAGAAGTAAAAAACAAAGTATCTGACAACGTAGATTGAGTCCTAGTCTCGGTTGAATTTGAATGTGCAGTCCAATTTGAGGGTGTCGATCCACTCCCAGATACAGATTGTCCTTCGGGTCGTTCTCTAGGATTACGATTGTGATTATGATGATAATCGTGGGCCGGGTTGGAAGGAGAGGAAGATGGTAGTGATGATGATGACGAAACAGCGATTTTTCGTAAATTTAGCATAACGCGGTTTATCATCGTAACTGAAATGCTATAGCAAGTTGAATGTGAACGGAGGTAGGTTAATTAAAAGTTGTGAAAAATAAATTTCACAAAGACGGAAGAGTGAGGTTTGAGAGGTGACCGGTGATACTAAGTGACATACCTGCTTGCGAATGTCGATAGGACACCTTTAAGAGCACCCTAAAGGAAACAGAGTATTCAGTATTCAGTATTCATAACGTAGGTGTCAATAACTTTGACACGGGTGGGGATTAGAATTTTGGTCGCGTACCGGTAAGAACTAGGTAAAAATAAATAAAAACAAGATCAGAGGAGGAGAGGAGAGGGAAGGAAAGGAAGAAAATATCGACTCGACTCACATAAAACGTCATCGTATTCGCAAAATTTGCACAAGCCATTACACTACAGTAAAAAAATAAAAAACCAAAACCAAAGCAAATCGTTAGCACACTGCCACAGAAAAGGCCAAATTCAAAACTGTGACCAACGTACCCAAAATACATAGCACCTAATTAAGAACCCGTAGAAAATTCAAGCCAGATTTCGTTAAACACCCAACCATGACATATTACAACAAGAAAGAAAAAAACGCACCATCTCTAAAAACCAAATCCGCAAGGTTCCCAAACGCATGACGATGATAGTGGGGAGAGGATGCAAGACCTTTGAACCGTCTCCTCTGTCTAAAGGTCTTCAACAATGTAAGAATGAATATCATGGTATCATAGGCGAATAAAGATTCCCATGCGATTGCTGTTCCTACATGATACATGATATAGATTAGTTCAGTTGAATGAGTAGCACTTGGAGTTGAAAGGACGTACGGATTCCCCTAGTGAATATGAGAATGGAAGAGTTCAAAGGTCAGGTTAGATTTGGTAGTTGAGTGAGGTTAGAGGGAAATAATGGTGGTGGATGGGTTGTTAACGCCAACTTTATAAGAACACTGAATCGGTAGTACTCACATCTGAATCGACTCAACAAGATGACAACCTAGATATCCAACACTTATCATTGATTGTTGTTTCGTAACACCCCACTACAACCAAAGGCAAATCCAATAATAGTGATCATCAACTTGAAGTTAGCATCATAGAATTTAGAATTTTAAAAGATTGAATTGGGGTAAACTCACGACTGAAAGTCCCAACAAAATAAACCCAACAGAGAGCATCAAATAGAGTATGCTTCTAGTTTGACCGTACAGTGCATATGTCCGTAGGAACATGATGACTATTAATCCATAAATTGAATATCGGACGAACAAATGATTAGATAGAGCTATTTGTAAAAATGTAAATTGAGTGGGCGGGCTCACCTGCTACTATAACCTGTGCACCCACAATGACGATAGTTCGATATAGAGAGTAACGGCGACAGGGCTAAACGCAACCAAAATAAAACATACCGAATCAAAATCGGCCTCAAACTAGATTAGAATTAGAAAATGGTACTTACGAGTTCACTCTTAAACGGAAAGAAATTCCCAATATTCACACCAACGTCCTATTATATAAGGTCCGAGTCCATCGTCAAAAGGTATACACAATACGTCAGATCTCATTCAAGGAATAAAATCGAACACAAAAATTCGATAAGCTGAAGAAAACTCACCGCAAAAAGCGAAAAATATCGATTCAACAAAAAAAGCCAGGCAGCTCCTGATTTAGGTTTGAACCAAACATACGAAACTTCATCGCTGAACGTGATAACATAGTCGTAATAAAGTATGCCTAATGTAAATGTAAAGTCAACGTCAATCATTCGGATTCTGCTGAGGTCGGGTTATGAGAAACTCACTAACGCCAAGAAGATGAAGATAATTATGTAGGTATCTATATTATGGATATGAACACGAATACGGTAAAGACAGGAAATAGAGGAACACGACCCAACTACTCACAGCTGGTAGACGGGGACGTCGTCTGTGGACGTCATGTCAAGGCACGGCTAGTATGAATCGGAAAGAGGCGTTATAGCGTCACTTTGGTATTGGTATATTCGCAATAGCTTCCTTCAGCAGTGCTAGTCTTGGTAATTCAGAGACAAGAGGTCATGAAGTCCTGTATGTTGTTTCGTAGAGGAATTGAGTTCGGAGGGAAAGGGAAAAGCGAGGGAGGTTGATGGCAATGGCAATGTGAGGGTATATATAAATATGTGTCTGTGCGTGTGTTTTGAATATGAATATGGATGGAGACTGCCTCGAGAATCTGAATATAATATCGTTCCTCAGGATCTTCTGACCACCCAAGCCAAAAAGAAAAAGAACCTCATCAATGATTGGTATAAACTTGTGCCGAAGCACAGGAACGAACGAACGGAGGGAGGATGGAGGAAGCCCAGTCGAATTCAAAGGTCCAAAACAAATCAAGTTACTTACAGACAGTAAGTCCGGAGTACCATAGGATTAGAAAAGATACGCATGGTTGACCGTTTGAATGATTTTGATCCAGATGGTGATGAGCGTGAGTGTGAGAGAACCTGAATAGAGTGGTTGTCTTCTTTAATTTCTCCTCTGGCCAGAAAAACAAGGTCGTACATACCTCCGAGAAAAGGTTATTGATGCAAGTCCTCATTAAAATTTTGATCTTTCACAACGGCAACTGTCTTTGTCTGTAGGCGAATCATCATCAGATGGTTGCAATGACAGATCGACCCTGAATGTCATTATCAGCTTCTCGACATATCATTGACATTGTTTTCAAGTTACTTGGTGAACAGACAACATACCTTATCACAATCAATCCAACGACCCTTACTTCCAAACGACTGGGAAAAGTTCAAACGTGTGTGTTGTTAAATCATGCTTTGCAGTAGCTTTTGCTGAGTAGATTGACAGACGGCGCACAGATCATCATGGACTCGAAAACTTGAAAGGAACGATCGACGCCGAGAACTCGTACTCGCCTATCCAAACTACTGGAATGCACATGATGCCGAGGAGTAATTGTCTAGTCACTAGTCACATCGTGCAAAGAGTGAGAAATAGGAAATCAGCGAAGAGGAATTGCAGTGATTGATATTACCAAAAAGCTTGTTATGTAGAGAAAACGATGATTCTCCAGCCCTTGGGCTTGTGGGTTTGCGAGCCAGGTACAATCTAGCATTGTAGCAAGGGCCAAATACACAGCTCCACTCGCATCATTGGATGTATGTGGTAACAGATTGACAACTGTGAGAGACGATATCATAAGAAACGAAAATCAATTTCGGCCATCGGAATATTGACTTCGGGCGGGGTGGAAACATTGAAACCACTCACCGAATACTCCTGTCGTATCATACGGACTTAGCACTTACATAAAGAGAGTTATATCAAAGCTTGGACGAAGAGCGAACTTCGATGTCGACTCCCGGACTTCTTCAAGTCATGGAGGTCCAGTTGATGCAGAACGACAATGATTAGCAAGTTGAGGGAAAGATAGAAAGAAGGATGGGCAAGAGGGAATAGGAATAGAATCAATATGTCTGAGAAGAGATCCTTCCTCTACGATTAGACCAGACAATAGAACATGCATCCGAATCTACAGAAGTGAACATCGTATCGATATTAGTAGTATAAAGAAGCATTATAGACCACCTAATGCCATGAAAAGAGACGTACAATGAGAAATGAGCACATCAACGGCAGTGCACGCCAAATCTACGGGTTACATCTGTAGAGCCAAACAAAGGGTCTAAGCAAGAACAGAACTTGCCACCAAAACGTTCGTAAGAAGCCCCTCGTTCAATAGTAGTATCTCAACCGCCGGTCCAGGGTATGATAGTGGTTACAGTCGAATGGCGGTGAACTGCTGTTTCGTGATGACATATTGACATTGACACCGAGTCTGTTGGAAAGTATAACCCAAACCTTCACACCGCCACGAGAAAAATCTTGACTGAGAAAACGTGTACCGCTATGGAGAGACCTTGCTCATGGACTACCAATAGGAAGAGAATGAGCAAGAGTGAGAAATAACATATGGATATATGAACATTTACTGACAGTTACGGAGACAGATAGCAAATCC